TAACACCCTAACTTACCGTCATACATCAAATAAGGTTTTTGAATCTATTAAAACATCATATTCAGTTTTGAAATGATATTCACACTTATATATTGTTGAATGGTATCAAAAAATAGATTTTATAGATCAAATATCAGGTTTGTGGAAAAATTCCTGGATTAGACGATACCTATTGTGATACTAGTATCTCACCCGTGCGTTGCACGGTTCATATTTACGTTAATTATATTAAAATGATATTTGAAATATACAAATTGATATATAATGAAATAAAGAGATTTTATTATTTTTAAGGCACAAAATATAATTGGTTTACAAATTTTGAAATAGGCAATTCATGATTATTAGAATACATCATATAATTTTTTTTGAAAAAAAGAGGCAATTATTCAGGTAATTATTTTTGAATCAAATAAAAATTCATGATTACTAGAATATACATTTTCACATACCTGTGGTCCTCCAATGTAACTTCTGTAATCTGCTCTGGTGCGTATTTTACCACACAGGTTTTCGGTGAGTTTCGACTAACAATTTTTCTAATTACATTTGCAAGTACCGACATAAAAGACAGAGGTATTATATATACATTATAAATATGAGTAAGAAAATTAAATAATAATATTAATAATCTAAGTGGGGCTTATCAATTAACAGCACATTGTTACCAAAAGTCAATATGTGAATTTTTTCAAATCCCATAAATTTGTAACAAAAATTTGGGAATCTGTTTCGCAAAATCTCTTAAAGTTTCGTCCTGCCAAAGAATTGAAGAATGAAAGGGTAGTTAGTAGTTTTCATTGTTTGGTAATTGCGTCGTACTTTGACTCTCATCTGTAAATAAACACTATCTTCTTTCAATTTATCTATGAAAATGCGTCTATTCGAATATTTGATCTACGCATATATATTTGATCTCTCAGACAGTACAAATGAAAAAAGTACATATTAGCATCATTACAAAGTTGTGAATTTATACATATTTTAGATTAATTTTAATGAAACAATTAACATCTGAATCATGAAAAATTATCTCCAAAGATTCGGGTAACATGAACTGGGACATGATAAACTCTTATCACTCTGAATTAATTCTTACCAATATGTATGAAAAGAATTATTTCTTTGTTGATTTTCGTGAATAAAAACATGGAAGTCTTATTTTGGTATATTTTCAATTTTTTACTCCTACTTTAATTTTTCCCAAAATTTATATATGAACAATAAATAATATTTATATATATTATATTATTGTATAACTATATATGAAAATATGATGTGGTACAAACATTACATATATTACCGTAAAATTGAAAGCTCAAGTGCACAATTTTTAAAAGTTTTAAAACTTTTTACATAATTAAATTAATATTATACAAAAGCTATATAAGGTAATCATTATATATTGAAAGCACTATTATATATGGAAATGTTATTTTTATTCTTACTATTTGTTGATTGCACAATTATATATGGAAACGTTGATTTATTTTCAAAGACCAATAACATCCGTTGATCAAGATGTTGACGCTAATTGACGGATCACAATGCGTGTGCGATTGGGCGGGAAAACTGCTGGGGCAATTTCCCCTGCTTTTAAGAATAGGAGGATATGGGTACTGGTGAACGGTACTTTAGTACCGCCCAGACGGTACAGGGTATCGCCTGGTATCAGATCCAGCTAGAGCCGGTTGGCTTGTAGCGGTACCCAGCTACCATCTCAACGGTATCATGCTATCGTCGAGTAGTAGGTTGCGAATGTTACTGTACCTTGTTCGAAATTCAGCATAGTACTTTGTCTTCAACCTCGGTCCAATTTCGAAAAACATAATTTTAAGACACCAAACTTCAAATAAACTATATAGAAATATTTTCTAATGTTTATAGATCATTTTAGTATCATTAATTCAAAGTTTTAACAACAATTTCAAGGTTTATGATTCTTTGTTTCTTCAAGCATGTGAAATATAAAACTCAACCAAACAATCGTTTATGAACGTAGAAATGATCTATGTGGACATTCTAATCAGTAGATATATCTAAGGGCTTACTTCAGGAAAAAATAAAGGATTTGGAAAAATTCTGACGAAACTTCTGGTAAGGATTGTGGCTAACTCCGAATAATTTTTCCAACTCCTTTTATAGGAGTTGAGGTGAGAAAGAAGTCTATGGACTTCTATGATTTTGATCAGCGATCATCAATAATAGCTAGTGCGATCATGGAGTATTTCATACGACCATTACTACACAAAAGGTTTTTCCCAGCACACTTTAGATAGCGCAATTTTTTATTTCGCTGTCTAAGGTTATAAAATATTCTGCGGTGCTTTAAAATCATTATTCAAAATTGATAGAAATTCTTTTTGGCTTACTTTTCCCACCGGACATTTAGAAGTCCGCCTTGTATAAGTGGCTAATATTTTCTCTCTCTAGAGTGGCGTCGCTGGAGCCAGGAAGTTCACGCAACATTATTTCCACAAACCCTAGATCAACACTTCCTTCAAATTTGTTGCTCATCTTTGAAATTCCTTGATGTTTTGGAGTCGCCTATTGCAGATTATCAAGGATCTGAGCTCTTTTCTACCGTGGAAGGTCAAAACTTGGTTGAATCTAGAGAAATCTATTCGTGGTATTCACTGTTCATCATGCGGATTATCACCTTCGATTAACCAGGTTATTGGTTAGATTTTGCTCTAATTTTTTGGTATGTTGGTCGGTTTTTATGTGTCTTTAATTGCATAGAGTTGGATTTGTGATTCAAAAAACAAGTGCTGATCTCCCCAAAAATCTTTGGATGCTACACTTTTTATTTTTTGCCCGTGTTTCATAGAGCGCTATTTTTGCTATTGTAATTCTTTGAGTTTGGTTGAAATTGTTTGGCAACAGTAGTGGAACATAAAAAAAAGAATAATGAGAAGAATAACACCAGCAAGAACAATACCGAATTCATTTTTTAGGGTACGCCACTCAACGAAGACAGACTTTGGTCTTCTGTTCAGTTTTTTGTTACTATTTCTTTATTTGCTTGGATTGCCTATGTCATTCCCACTCACATAGATTTCTATCTCCTGGCTCTAGGTGTGAGATTTTTATTTTGTATTCTTATTTTTTCACCAAGCATTATACTCCTCTCAATAGTTTGATGATTATACTCTAATTTATTCTAACGAATAGATGGTGTTTTATTCTGAATCATATCCCATGCCATTAAAGTTTTGGTTACAAGATCCTTGCTTTTGATAATTAACAATATCTACTAGTGGATTGTGGATTCAATTTACGCAATTTTTACCCCTTTAATTCTTGGTTGTCTTAGTGCCCTGCTCTTGTTCTTCGTTGTCTTTCATCAAGGTTTGCTGGTTTTGGTACATTGATTTAACTAGCTTTTAAATATATTTTTTGTGTTTCTTTTTTCTAGACTACAATGGTGAATCCTAACCCTTCATATACAATTTGACTAAGGAAGCTATTGTCAAGTTGGTGATATACTCTCGAAGGTGCAATTTTTACATTTTTTTTCTTATCATTTACATTGCTTCTACATGATATATATCATTGGTTGATAAGAGGTTCTTTTATCTAGAATTTGAAGGTGATTTGCAAGTGGTTTTGAGAAAGTTTGTTTCTGTACTAGAAAGGTGCAATGTATTCTTCTATGAAAAAACTAAAATTATCTTTGATTTTTTAGCGTATGCATATTACAAGGTAATGATATTAATTTTTCCCAAATATAAGCAAGTTGCTCTAGTAATTTAAAATTAAGAGCATGAAACCAGCCCCTTGTGCTGTACAATGAGATACGGAGTATATTTTATTTTTTTCATTTTAAGGTCCATTTGGAGAAGGAGAAATATGGTGTCCACACTCTTTCATCAAAGGTTGTAAGGTTTGTCACAAATTCCACTTACTCAAGTAGAAGTTGTTCAATTAAGATAAAACTACCACTAAAAACTACATTCTGTGAATAATTGAATTCATGCAAATAACTCTTATATTTATCTTTTCTTCTAATTCTTGAGAGTGAAGATGTTTCAAATGGATATGGAGATGATTTTGAGCATCTTGGTGGATTGCTGGAATGGAGACTCTTTTATTCCCTATATGAAGTCTCATTCCCTATATGAAGTCTCTGCGTTGTAGCTATGTAGTTATTTTGTAAATTTATACAATACCCTTGATTCTACACCTTGATCCACGTACATAATAGGTTTTAATTTGTGTGTAATGGGTTGTAACTTGTAATATTTATGTTTTTTTTTCTTGTAATAAAATATATTGTTTGTTTAAAACATACTATGTATGTATATTTTTAAAAATTACAATAGCTTAATAAAAATGTGTGTGCATATATTATCTTATTTCGTAGTAGCTAGTCTTAAATAATATTAATTTTTTAAACATAAATAGTGACTTTAGACATTAGATAAATATCCACTTTCTAAACTACTAACTTTACACACTGAATAAAGATGGTTTTAGACAACGAAAAATATCCTCTATGTATCTAGCTGATGGGAAAAGTCCTGGCTTTAGACAATGGATAAACATATGGTGTTTAAACTTTACACAGCAGATGTTTATCCACTGTTTAAAGACAGGACTTTCCCATTGGCTGGATACACATTGGATATTTTTCACTGTCTAAAGTCAATTTTTTCCGCTGTGTAAAGCTTGTTCTGTAGTAGTGGGACTCTTCGTGATTAGGTCCTAGTTGGGGTACACTTTGATGGGGTACACTTTTTGGTCCAACTTTCTCTAAATTAAAATCAAATTGTACATTTGCGATTAGACAGTCAAACTCTATACAAATATATATTTTTCATATTTAATTGTAATAACTTTTCTCACATTGTATTTTTGAATATTTGACTTTAGCAAAGTCAAAATTGATTTAATTCATTTTTTGTTCAAAAGATCTCATATTCAATTCATGTCATTTACATAAGGCATACAAATCTTAGTTCTCAAGTGATAAAAATCACTTAAACATTTCCATAAACAGAATAACACACTCAGCGGCCTATCAGAAGAATCACTTCTCACTGATTACCGTCATGCTCAAACATTTGGGCAGCCCCGTATTGCCAGCCCAAACCCCCGGCCTAGAAGCCCGAATAGCTGGCCCGGGCAGCGCCGCCAACCAGCCTGAACTACTGCCCGGCAGCCCCACCGTCCGGCCTGAGATAGCTGGCCCGACGGCCTCACCGGCCGGCCCACAACAGCCCCAATTAAAACCCAATTACCCTAACCAAACCCAATTTGACCCAATTAGACCCGAAGCGATCCAATTGGACCAATTGAGTCCAAATTGGATCAATTGGGTCCAAATTGGACTCAACCGACCTATCCACAGCCCCTGCCGGTGGTCCACTGCCATGACTCGCCGGAGTTTGGCAAGAGATTCCTTCCCAAGTCAACCCACAACCAATTCAACATTCAATTACAATTCCAACAATCAATTCGCACAAATTCATTATCAATTGCAAGATTAATACAAACAAGATGCTAATCTACGAATTAATGCTAAGGATAGATATTTGGACAACAAATCACCTTGAAATTGAAGACTTGAAATGGGATTGAGGGAGGAGGAACTCGCCCCTGCCACTCCCAGGTATGGGCGAATCCGCTGTGCAACGGGGAAGGGTTAGTCGGACGGCAATCGGCGACTCGTTGGCGCTCGGCGGCTGTTGCTAGAAGGTGACGCCGGACATGATGTGCGAGGGGGAGAGGATGGTCGGATGTTGCAGGCGAGGAGACCTCTACGATTACGATTGAGAAGAGGGTCTCGAGGCTGTTACAACAGTTAGGGAGAGAGAGAGCTAAAAGAGAATAGATTAGGTAATAACTTTTCTATTTCTAATCTCCAAATCCTCCATCAACATATATATCGGATCTCATATTAAGTGATTATACATAAACAAGAAATAAGAAAACAATAGCTAGTATAAATGGGCCGTGGAATGGCCCATGGGCTAACACCCGTAACATTCCTCCCTCCTTAGCTTGAGCTTTGTCCTCAAAGCTGGAAATCTGGAAAGCGTTGCATGAAGGATTCAGACCATTCCCATGTAGCGTCCTCCTCTGGTACCCTCAGCCATTTCACCAAAAACTGCACTCCAGCCTTGTTTGCTTTTTTCTGGATCCTTCTAGAGAGAATAGCTTCAGGAAGAGGATGACTTTGACTATTTGTGCCCTGGAACCAGTAAGGAATGTGTGGCTCAGCAGGTAGCTCCCCCCTAAACCTCTTAAGTTGGGACACATGAAAAACTGCATGAATCTTAACAAACGGGGGTAACTGAAGCTTATAAGCCACCTTGCCCACCTTTGATACAACCGGAAAGGGGCCAACATACTTAGGTCCCAACTTCTGATTATGCCTCGGCTGCACACTTGTTTGTCGGTAAGGCTGCAATTTTAACCATACCCAATCACCTACATCAAACTCCCTTTCTGATCTATGCTGATTGGCCATTTGTTGCATTCTATTTTAAGCCCTTTGCAGTTGATGCTTCAATTGTTTGATCATCTCCTCTCGTTTTTGGAAGGACCTGTCCACTCCCTCAACAGTAGTCTCTCCAGGCAAGTAGGGTAAATGGATATGGGGGAGGCTAACAGTATATTGCTTCATACGGTGTCATGTGGATAGAAGAGTGGTAGGTCGTATTGTACCACCATTCAGCGAGGGGAATCCATTTACACCACTCTTAAGGATTCTGGGAGCTCATGCACCTCCAAGCATCTATTCATCACTTCGGTCTGCCCGTCTGTTTGTGGATGATAGGTAGAAGACATCAAGAACTCAACTCCATGAACGGAAAGCCAAAATTGACTTAAAAACACAGTGTCTCTGTCATTGACTATAGTGCTTGGCATCCCATGCAATTTAAACACATTATCATGGTAGCATTGAGCCACTTCTAGAGCTGTATACGGGTGGGAGAGCAACAAAAAATGGGCATACTTACTCATTCTATCTACCACCAAAAATATAACATCCTTACCCATTGATCTAGGAAGCCCTTCTATAAAATCCATTGAAATATCCTTCCATACCTTTGTTAGAAGCTGTAGGGGCTGAAGGAGGCCTGGATAGGCAGCATTATCATATTTGCAAGCCTGGCATGTGAGACACCTTCTCATAAAGTGGGAAACATCTTTGTTCATGCCCTTCGAGTAGAACAAGGATTTGAGTCTTCTCAATGTTGCTTCCCTACCAGAGTGTCCTGCCACCGGTGAGGAATGTCCCCATTGAAGTAACTTAGCTTTGAGTGTATCACTAGCCCCTATGACCAATTTGCCTTTCCTCCTTAGCTGGTCATTTTCCCAAGTATAGTGATGTACTGGTAGGTTTTGCTGTAAGTTTTGTATACATCCTTGAAGTGTGGAGTCATTCTGCCAACTTCCTTTAATGTCTTCGAGCAAGGAAGAATCAATGGTAGAGAGTGCCAAGCATAGGATTTCTGCCTCAATGTGTCGAGAAAGGCTATTTGCAGCTAAATTTTCTTTTCCTTGATTATATTGAATGTCATAAGTGTACCCCATCAATTTGGACAACCAGAATTGTTGGAAGGGTGTAGAAATTTTACTTTCAAATAGCCACTTAAGACTTTTTTGATCAGTCTTAATAGTGAAAGGTTGATTAACCAGATATTGTTCCCATTTTTGCACCGCAAAAACTACTGCCAATAGTTCTTTCTCATACACAGATAAGGCTTGCCACCTAGGCCCTAATGATTTGCTGATGTATGCTATGGGATGGTGATCTTGCATTAGAACAGCTCCAATTCCTCCTTGGGATGCATCAGTCTCAACCACAAACTGCTTGGAAAAATTAGGAAGTGCCAACACAGGAGCACTACACAAGGCTTCCTTCAAATTTTGGAAAGCTAAGTTGGCTTCTTCAGTCCAATGGTAATTTCCTTTCTTCAACAAATTAGTGAGAGCTTTACTTATAGTTGCATAGCCCTTGATAAATCTTCTATAATACCCAGCAAGACCTAAGAAACTCTTCAATTCCTTCTGGTTGGTGGGGCTAGGCCAATTTTTTATGGCCTCTATCTTGCTGGGATCAGTAGAAACTCCCTGCCCGGGAATGTAATGGCCCAAGTACTCTACTCTTGATACTCCAAAGGAGCACTTACATCGTTTTGCCAACAACTCATTTTCCCTCATAGTATTGAATACTCCTCTCAGGTGTGTGTAATGCAATGCCAATGTAGGGCTGTAAATGAGGATGTCATCAAAGAACACTAATACCGATTTCCTGAGTTGGTTTCTGAAGACATGGTTCATTAGGCCTTGGAAAGTAGCAGGGGCATTGGTTAGGCCAAATGGCATAACCAAGAATTCATAATGGCCATTGTGAGTCTTGAAAGCAGTTTTGTAGATATCTGTAGCAGCTACTCTTATCTGAGCCCTCAAGTCAATTTTGCTAAACACCGTGGCTCCAGCCAATTCATCGATGAGTTCATCCACCACCGGTATAGGAAACTTGTGCTTAACTGTCTGCTTGTTCAGTTCTCTATAGTCCACACAAAGTCTCCAACTCCCATTTTTTTTTCCAACTAATACTACCAGAGAAGCATAGGGGCTTCCACTATCTCGCACTATTCCACTATTTTTCATCTCATTGACCAGCTGCTCAATCACATCTTTGTGTCTGACAGGGTATCTATAAGGCCTAATATTCACTGGGCTGGCATTAGGCTCTAGTGGAATAGTGTGGTCGAAAACTCCTCTATAAGGTGGTAGTCCTCGGGGTTCTTGGAACAGGTCCTCGTACTCTTCCAATAGCTCTTGCATGATAATAGGAGTTCCCTCTGAAGTCTTCAATTGTTGTTTACTAGTATTATCCCCACATGGAGTGTAGATGTGCAACAAGCATAACTGACTAGAATTGTTTAGAATCTTGGTTAAGTTGTTAGGTCTGGCTTCAGCAACCTGCTGTTTCATGCCCCTTAGAACCTGTCTGTGTCCTTTATAAGAAAAATCCATCTCTAATTTACTAAAATCCCACTTCACTGGACCCAACATACTTAGACACTGCACGCCCAACACCATGTCACATCCCCCAGTGGAATCAACAACATGTGAGACTTGTAGGTCGTTCTCTGAAGTCTCCACTCAAACCCAAGGCACATAAACTTGCACTGAAGTTGGTTCCCATCTACAACTATCACTGATTTGGCTGCAATGGAATCCATCTTAGATCCAACTTCTTGGCTAAGGAGATGTCCAAGAAGTTGTGAGTACTGCCCGAGTCTATGAGGATATGCAAAGGCTTCAGTCCATAATACCCTGTCACCCTCATGGTCTGGAACCCTTGATTGCCACTGATGGCATTTACTGAGATCAAGGGGTTGTCACTTCCCACTTGGTATGCTGAGTCTTGAGAATCCAACTCCTCCTCTATCTCTAAATCTCCAGGCACCTCTAAACAGCTGGTTCCCCTGCCAGCACATTTATGCCCCTTTTCAAAGGGCTTGTCACAATAATAACAAAGTCCTTTGGCTATCTTTTCAACCCTGATTGCAGCGGGAATGAACTTAGGTTGGGTTGCTATAGGAACAGAACTCACCAGTTTGGTTACAGATGTTGGTAGAGTGCCCTTGCTAGTAAACTGAGATTTGATGCCCTTTTCTTGTCCTTTAATGGTAGACACTGTCTCCTCCTGACACCTACCATAATCAATAGCTTCGGCCAATGTCCCAGGTTTGAGAGCTCTTACGAATGCCTTAAGGTGAGGTTTGAGTCCCCCTATAAAGCTGTCCAAAAAATGATAACCTGGCAGCAGATGATTTTTTTGCAGTAAACAAGCCCTCAACTCCTCAAATCTATCTATATAATCCTCTAGATTTCCCATCTGTTGTAACTTATTGAATTCCTCCACTATTTTTGATCCCAATTCATCTTTGAACCTGGTGCTAACATCTACCACAAAGTCTTCCCAAGCAATATTGGCCCTCCCTATTGTATAACTATGATACCACACTTTAGCTTTTCCAAACATATATAGCCTTGTTTGGAAAACAGCATTTCGAATAGCTTTTGGCATCTTTGACCGACTTTGGCTTTTTTGACCAAGCGAACCGCCAAAACCATTGTTTGGCTAATGGCTTTTTCACTTGGCATTTTGATCCGAAAAGCTAAAATATGAAATGCCAAGGGGAGTAGCATTTGGACTTGGCGGTTAGGAAAAATAATTTTTTTAAAATCCTTTTTGTTGAAAGATAATTTATAATATATGTAAAAAATAAAAATAAAATTAAAAGTTAAAAAAATTAAATACTAGAAAAAAATTTAAAATTTAAAAATTTCAAAAAATGAAATGAGAAAATAAAAAGTAAAAATCATTAAAAAAATTTATATTAATAATTTATTATGAATTAAATGAAATTAAAATTTAATACTCCATATAATAAAGATTTAACTTTTACATGTAAAAAAATGAAAAATAAATATCGTGTGTGTGTGTATGTGTGTGTGTGTATGTGTGTGTGTGTGTGTGTATATATATATATATATATATATATATATAATGGAAAGGAAATTTATTATAAATGGAGAAAAAAAGTACAAGTGGGTTGGCCAGTTTCCCTACACTTCGGCCAGAGACTGAAACTGAAGAAATAGAAATAAAAACAGGTACCATAAGCTAAATAAACTAGACAAAGAGAACATTCCAAAATTCTATATGGGCTCCAATTATACAGATTGTTTTCATTTTCACACCAAGGAATGCGTAATCTGCAGCAGTTGAGTGAGAGGCCAGGCAGAAGCTCCAAACATCGTAGTACTTCCCCAAATTCCAGCAGGCCATTTTCCTCAAAATATCTTCAATCAGCATGTGCATTATGCCCCAGCTCTGACGTAGTACCTTGTACCTCCATCCAAACAGAAGGAGTTTCCAAACATATCTATGCTAGCCCACCAGAGAAGGCCAGCCGTATACCCTAAATCACTGTTCTGAACTAGAAACCAACTCCAAAAAACTGACTTGGATTATGGCAGTAAATAAAAGGAGGCTAGAGGAACAAGCATTAGGTAGAGATAAACTTAAACTGCAGCATAATCAATAAGCATATTCTATATCTTCCTCAAAACCATATTCAGAGTATTGAGAGTATTGAGACTGCTTCTTTTTCTTCTTCATTTTTCCTTGGTAGAGGTGGAAACTCTTCGGCTTGACTGGTGGAGAAGCTGAAGATAGGAGCTGATTTAGTTTGGAAAATAACTATTTGCTTATAAGTTTCGGCAGGGGTGGGATCCCCAACAAGAACCTCTGCACTTGTGACATCTTCACAGCAATGGGTATTTACACCCTGTCCTGTGTCTGTAGGCAGGGAAGACGCATCAGTTTCATTGGGAGAATTACACAGGGATTCCTGGGGTTCCTCAGACACACACACCTTTGAGCATACCTCAAGATTGGTAGCTCAAAGATATATATATATATATATATATATATATATATATATATATATACATACATATATATATATATATATATATATCATCTTTCCACCGAAGACTTTTCTGTCCAGGTTGTGAGCAGCTTCTAGCGCCAAAAGGATGTGGTCAGACATGCTTTTACCTTGTTGGAAAGTTGCTTGATTTGGAGATATAAGCTTAGGCAGTAAGGGTTTGAGCCTGGTGGAGAGAACTTTGGTGTTAACCTTGCTCATGAACGTGCTAAGAGAGATAGGCCTATAGTCGTCGAAGCGTTTAGGACTCTCCTTCTTGGGAATAAGGGTAATGAGTGTACTACCTTATATATATATATATAGGTGGCATAGGGATCAGGGACCTTCTTCACATTGAGACAACATACTCTCTCAAACTTTGGTGGAAAGCCCAGCACGATCAAGGTCTATGGGCTAAACTTGTTAGAGCAAAGTACATGAAGAATGGTAACATCAAGGAACGCCTCCCAGATTCCCCAACTTGGAAGAGAATTTGTAGAGTACACTCTCTTGGTACAACTCATATGCAATGGAACAATGGACAAGCACTTTGGGATAATGGACAGTTCTCCGTCAAACTTGCTTTTAATGCCACTGAAGAGAAACTCCCGGTACTCCTCTCAACCAAATTTATTTGGCACAAAGCACAAATCCCTAAACTGCGTTTCTTCCAATGGAAGATCTTCAACAACTGTCTTCCTTTCCCCAACAACCTCAGAAGATTCAACCTGGCACTACCTAGTCGTTGCAGCTTCTGCCTCAACAACGAGGAAAGCTTGGATCACTGCCTCGTGAACTGCACCGAGAGCAAAAAAGTATGGAACTTTTTTGCACATCTAGTTGATGCTCCCATGCACACCTCAAATCTGCTGCTCCGCCAAAATGCAATCTCATGGTGGGTAAGAGGTAATTTGAAAAGTTTTAAAGGTGCCTTGAGAATTATACTCCCGGGTTTCATCTCATGGAATCTATGGAGAAAAATCCTGCGGAGTCTCACACCGGAATGGCGCTCCAGAGCCGATGCCATCCAAGAGTCCATCAGCGTCACCAACGTCACCATCGACGGGTGTTGAGGACTTGTCGTAAGGTCCAAAACAAATTAAAAATTTATAAAATATCTTTAACTAACCCCCAAGATATAATCAAATAAAAACTATAGCTAGGGCAAGTAAGGGTCAATCCCACGGAGAAAGTTTGCACTTTTTAAAACCAAATTAGCATGCACACACATTGTCACTAAACAAAACAAACTAACTACTAAACATATGATAAGACGTATAAAACTTATAAATAAAACTTATATAAACAAAGAACTTATAATATAACTTAAACACAACACAAGGGGGGTGAATAAAAAGTAAATATATTTTTGGTTTTTTTATTTTCTTATTTTTTTGGTTTTTCTTTGATAAAATGGGGAAAACAAGCTCAAAAATAATCAACTTTCCCAACTAAGGTAACCCAAGAAACACCGCCAAGAACCGGTAACAAAATGAAAAAAGAGAACAAACACAAGCCGAACATTACACGTATAATAGGCTCGTAGACAATGTATTACGTAACTTACGCACTTAAGAATAGAAAAAATCAATCAAAGGCCGAGTCGATTCATTTCCTTAACCACGATATGGAGGATTGTCAACTCTCCACATGGCCCGGAGTCATGCAATTCAAAGGCCCGTTTTGAAATATACCTTAGAAACCCAACTCTTTATTCAAGCATGAAAACATACTTCCACCATAGAAAAAGTTTATAAAAGAGAGAATCTATTATTCATTCAACTCTCATACATAATCTATTCACAAACCGCCAATACCTTATGTATTTTAATAAACTTTTTCTCGTAATGATGAGCACATTTCACAGATTTCCATGAACTTTTCAAACCAATGACGTTTTTTCTATTCACATAAATGAACACAACATATTTTCAATAAATTGAGAATTGTTTTTTAGCTTAAACAACCTCAAATTAATGAAAATGACAAAGAAGCACATGAAAACATACACAATCACTTAATAGCGAATTTTAAGGAAAAAGAATCATCTCATGGAGCTAAGAAGTCCAAATTCCTTGAAATCTATATACACAATGCACAAAAAAGATTCACGTATGAATTCAGAGTTCATTTAACTACCTTATAGAGCTAAAATAGCTTCAACAAAAACCGAATTCCACATACCAACCTACTTATGAAATCGAATTATGCAATTCAACCAATTCAACAACAACTTGATCAATAATTGAAGAAAAACTTGTTTGAATCAATTCTCATTCACAAGGGATTTAATATAAACATTCAAAAAAAACCATAAAAGAACACCAACCATTTTTAGAATATTTGAAACAAACAAAACAAGCAAACAAACATGTAAAAATTGAACAAAAAGCAAACATTTACATAGAATTGAAGTAAAAAATAAAAATTGACAAATAAGGGTTACCACTTGGAGAAGAAGATGAAATTGAAGAATTGGAACTGTGATGGAACCATAATCAAAGCTGGAGGTCGCCACCCATCGCCGGACGCTGGCCGTCCGCCACCGCCGCCGCGGCTAGGCCGCGGCTCTCTTGTTGTTGTTCCTCGTGTGTTTCCCCCACTGTTTTGTGCAATTTGCCTTGTAGGATAGTAGGAGCAAGGGCCTTTAATTTCTTCCCATTGGCAATTGATTCTAGCGATAAATGTGGGGGAGCGTTGACTGCTTGGCCGGTTCATGCTCGTTCTGTTGACGACAAAGGACTCGTAGACTCCTTTTCTTTGTTCCTGGTGCGTGAAATTTGACTGGTATGGAGTGTTGGGCTAATTTCATTAAAGTTAGGTTTGAGCCCGGCCCAAATTCGATCTCTTCTTTTCAAACTTGAGCTTCAATTTGGCCATTTGCTGCACTTTTCTTCAAAAAATTAGATATCTGATAATTTGGGTTAGGAAAAATAAAATAAAAATGAAGACAATTATAAAATGTTAAAAAAATGATTAAATATCTACTATTTTTAAAAGAAAATTAAAAGATTGAAAAAATGAAAATTAAAATAAAACTAAGTTAAACTACTAAAAATTAAACTCTAAAATTATTAAAAATACCTAAAAAATAATAAAAAGAACCAAACCAAACCCGACTTATCAAATACCCCCACACTTAAGATTTGAACGTCCTCGTTCAAAAGACCAAAGAGAAACAGATTAATTACTACTCCGTAATCATCATTAAGAAAAACAAAATGCACTTTACACACCCACTCCTAAGACTTCATGCCCATAGCATTTTAAAAATCAAGTGAGCTTAAAATCCTACAAGGATGGAGAACTAAACAATGGATGTATTGGGTTCTAAAAAAAATGCTATAAAGTTACCACAAAAAAGTTTCTAAGGAGTATCCTATAGTTCAAAAAGTCTCAATGGCAACGGTAGCAAAGATTGAAAAAGAAGCCTAAAAAATTTAAAAAAAAACTTACAATTTTCTAATAAAAAAAAACTAAATGTTCCTAAAATTGGTTCTTTTACAAATTTTAAAATCAAGCAAAAGTGATTAAAACATCATCTAGATAATATGAGGATGACCAGTTCTAGAAAATAAAATACTAAGGAAACCTAAAAAGATTCAAACGTTAAAGTCATTTTATACCAAGAAAATGGGCATAAGACTCAAGGTGAGATTATAAAGAAACATTTGTTATCTTTCAAAGTAAAGCTCAACAAAAAAATAAGGCTTTGGGTCAATTTTGAAAGCAATGCTCTAAATAAGAAGATATGCAACTAAGAATGAAAAAAATGTATCGACCCAAAACTTATCGAGAAAAAAAATTGCCCAAAAATTAATCTCCCCCAAACAATGGAATAATAATGAGAACCTCCCCCCACACTTAAATCATGCATAGTCCTCGATGCATCTATATGATATGCAAAAATAAACAACGACAAATATGATATAGCAAAGAGAAGAGCCAAAAGATGAGGAAGGGATGGGGAGATTCATTTAAAGAGGGAAAGATGGGAAGGAGAATGCAAATTTTAAAAAAAAGTATACACGACATCAATTCATCATTCCGATTCTATTATGCTCGATGGACCTAAAATCTGCAAAGAGAGGGCTAGGACCAAGTATTTTAGCATTGAAGAACAACAAATCAGATTTAAATAATGCAGATTTTTGTCTAATTTAGCACATATAAGCCGTGAAAAGTGTAGAATTTTCATTCTACACTAAAAAAACAGCTTACAAAGTGCATATTTTCTAATTTAAAGCCCAAAAATCATACTCCGTATTGAACAGTGCAAAGTTTTCAGTTTCAACCTCAAATAAGACCAAATTTAAACTCTCAAGGCTTAAGGAAACTGAAACTTTATAATAAACCAATACCCGGGCACTAAGAATTGCTGTTTCAAAACAGATTTTGCATCTTATCATGCAGATTTTTACTCCAATCACCAATGCTTCCACCTAAAACTTAACAAATCTTGCAAAAAGCTCTCAAAGTAGATGGTTAGAAACACAAGTAAAGAAAACAAACAATTTAAGCTCATCAAGATAACTTTTTTTGTTTTGATTTTATACTTTTTTTAGAAATAAAATAAAATAGAAAAGAAAAAAAATCCTATAATTACAAAAAGTACTATTTCATCAATATGGGAAAAAAAGTAAGAAAAGTAAGTGGTTATTAAAAGAAAGACCAAATTAACGACCACAATGGAAAAAAAAAGTTAAGTACAAAAATAACATGTTAAAGTTAGAAGTAAGCATAGATACTTTAAAGAAAAATTTTAAAACGCTATAAAAGTGAGTTATGTTAAAAAAAGAAGGAAAAAAAATCCAATCAACAATTAAAAGACAAGAAGAAAACAAATACAACAATTACTAGAAGTTAGAAGAAATTTTAAAAAAAACGCTTGAAAAGTAAATGGGTTGCCTCCCATAAGCCGCCCGATTTAACGTCTTTGGCTAGACAAAGCTTACTACTTACAAACAAATATTTACTTAAGGCATGAAGTAGTAAAGCAAGTATGTTTCTTTAAAACACAAAAAAAAAGAAGATAAAAACAACGGAAGCCAAAATTCAGAACTCAAGTGCAGATTGTAATCTTCTAATCAGTATTTAGAAACAAAGTTTTCTGCATTTTTGCACTTTGACATCAAAATTCAGCATATAAGCGTCAAATTTAGATTGCAAAGACAAGCTAAATACCCTTCAAGTCCGTTCCTATGCATATATTTAACAATTAAAGTACATAATTCAGCAATAGGCATCTTAAGGACTAGAAATAAATCAGCTTATCAATGAAAAAGGTTACTGATTTTTTCAAAAAACAGCACTACAGATCAGATTTTGCTCAAAAATCAGCACAATAGGCATCAAAATCAGCATAGAAACCTCATGATATGCTTCAAAATATTGTCCCCAAGTAAGATATATCAATTATAGTTCATATTTTAGCAATGTAGCACTCTTAAGGAATAAAAACAGCAAGAGTAATGCAGATTTATAAAAAAACAGCAAGTAAAATCATTTTTTCCTTGCATATTTAGCATTAAAGGCATCAAGATAAGCACACAAATCTTGCCTAATCAAACCATACATGTTGTACCCATAAGGAAATGAACAAAGCAGCACCTATGCAACATATATGATCAATTGGATACATAAACCAGCAAAAAATGCAGAAAATAGTGTCAAAATGGAACTTTTATGAAAAATAGGCCTGAAATTTCATAAAAACATCATTTGGAGCACAAATTCAGCATTCAAGAGAATCAATAAAGCTGATTCCAACCTTTTCAAGCACACAGAAACCTCATTTCTACATGAACACAAACTCAACATGCTAAAACAGTAAAAATGGTGTAGGTTTTTCAAATGTGCATTGACATATAAGAGTTGGGAAAACATCACCTAGATTATCCAACATAGGCATATGTGCCCTTTAAAAGTCAAAACTTAGGAGATAAGCATGCTAAAAATAGTATTCAAAATGCATTGTTTTTTGAAGAATGGTACCAAATTCTTCGCAAAATAGCATAACGGACACAATTTTTAGCACAAACACAAAGAACAAGGTTGATTTCATATTGCTCCCATTTTTTTAGATTGAAAACTTTTTGAGCACATGATGTGCGTTGCCTTTATTAACCTGGTCCCACACAAACAAGAACAAAGAACACAAAGAAACTAACGATAAAGCCTTCACTTGAGATATCTATATCCAGCTTCACCTTATTTCTTTAAGAGTGCTTCAGCCTTCAAGTTCCGCCCTTCTTGCTAATGTCCTCTTCTTCTTGGATCCTTCATCTTCTTGCTTCTTCATGGATTCTTTATTTAATCCAGAGAAAAGAATCCTTGCTTTGTAAGCAAAGGGGTATGCAGTTTAAGAAGAGATTTACTGTAACGCCCCAAAACATACCCTAGAATTATTAATGAATAATTAATTAATTAATCAAATTGTTTTGATTAAAATAATTTGTTGTTGGGCTTTTGGGCCGAAATAAAATGTTTTTTGATATCCAATATCACAATCAGGATAAATCTCATAGAGATAAACCCAATATGTTGACTATTTGTGTGGTCTTGATTGGGAACCTGAGTACAGACCCAAATCAAGAATAAATGAAGAAATTATTTATAATGTGAACTTTGAAATGATTTACTGAAATAAATCATTAGAACAAATGATATGAATTAAATGTGAGAAATCTTTTTGAATAAAGATCAACTAAATCAATTTTACTCTGTCAAAGTCAAACACCCAAAAATATGATGTCAGAAAAAGTATAACGAATAACTATAAAAATTATACCGTTGGATAGAGTTTAATTGTACGACCGCAATGGTGCAAACGAATTTCAATTTGGAGAAAGTTAGACCAAAAAGTGTACCCCGACTGGGACCAAAAATTAGTCCCAATCAGGGAGTAACATGCTGAATCTCTTTATCGCCGAATGAATCGTGAAATGGGAATCCTACGCAGCAGCAACTCAGCTTCCCATGTCTTCTTCCTCTTCCTCTTGCTATATAAGAAACTCAATTCTTCTCGTTTCTTCACCATTCATCTTCAAACTTCTTCCTAAGTGTTCCTAAGAGTGTAAGGAGTGTAGTGGTGCTGTCAATTTGGTGTGAAGTCACCGAAGCTAGCCACAAACCTCGCCAGAAGTTTCGCCGGAATATCGTCAAAACCTCCATCAAGCTTCGAGGTAAGCCCGTTGATATATCTAATGACTAGAATGTTCGTATAGATCGTATCTACGTTCATAAACGGTCATTTGATTGAATTTTGTGTTTGACATGTTTGAAGAACCAAGAATCATAAACCTTGAATTTGATGTTAAAAATATAATTTAATAATTCTAATATGATCTATGAACCTTGGAGAACATCTCTATATAGTTTAATTGAAGTTCGGTGACTAAAAATGGTTTTCCCAAAAAATGGACCGAGGTTGAAGACGAATGAACAGTGGCTGAAAATCCACAGAGTGGATCGATCCCCCGAAGTTTTGATCCGAAAATTTGTCTGTAAATGCTATTTTTGAGTTCTAAAATCCTATTTTTGATACCAATTGGTTATGATCATTATAAAAATGATTTACCACAATAAAAATGATGTTTTTAACAAATAAAAATGTTATGTGATGCATGAAGGTAAGTTCGGGTGTTAACACTCGAAGCTAGGCCGCTAATTGTTGTTGAATATTATGTTGATTGATGATTACGGTAACAATTATTGGTTGATGATTAAATCTTGGTAATTGTTCTAATTAAAAATGGAAATTATGAATGATTAAATCATAATGAATATATTGATGCTTGTGAAAATAATATGTATTGTTAAGAGTATCTAGAAGACCTCTAAGATACACCCATATTAATGTTGATTTGAAAGGTATCTAGAAGAACTGTAACGCCCCGAAACCCGGCCTATCAGAATTAATTAATTAGAAAGAATTGATTTATTACTGAGACGGACCCGGTGGAAAATTATATATATACCTTTTGTTTAATATTAAAAATTATACCGTTGTGTAGGATTCGACGAAACGAGTCCAATGGCGCGATCGGATTCGGATTTGGAGCCCCGGGGCCGGGCAAGTGCGTTTGGGCCAGGTATGTTAAGTTCATGCGGGGCCCAAAACCCCAAAGGTATAAATATAAGCCTACACGCCTAAAAATCCCTTATGCCTCCACACCCATTAACGCACGTCTCTCCCTCTCTGTCGACAACTGCTGTAGCGCCGAAGAAGAAGAAGAGGAAGGAAGAGGTCGCCGGTCAACCACCGCTATCTCGTTGTCGTCCAAACCTTCTGTGCGTGAGTTAGTTCATCGTTCGAGGTGAGTACGTGAAACCCTAACGTTAGAGTAGGCAATCAGGCTGAAATCTACGTTCGTATTTGTCGTAGGGATTGTTTGCACTAAAACCTATTTGTTATGATTATTCGGGAATTGTTGGGTTTTGATGGAAACTATGGGTAGGATTCGCGTTTCATAACCTATGTTAAAATTTACGTGATTATGTGATATTCATTACGTGTTTAACATCGTAATTGAACGCGGGAATTGGGTAATGTGTGTTGGATGCTGAGGGGAAAACGAGCTGGTGCACGAACTGGAACTGTCGCGGCGGACGGTAGGTCGGTACCGCCGGGACGGTACCCAGGTACCGTCACCTTCTTCGTTTCCACCTCTCACTGCCGGCACCTGTTTCCAACCGGTACACCAGTACCGGAAGGACGGTAGGCCCTACCGCCAGGTCGGTAGCGGCCCACCGCGACAGGGTACCGTGCGAAGGTACCAGGCATGCCAGACGGTAACCACGTACCGTGGGACGGTACCTTGGTACCGTGGGGGCGGTAACCCCCTACCGTCAGGGATACCGTAAGGTACCAGAACCGGGCAGCAGACCAGCTTTCGCCAAGGACGGACTCCGAGGCTTGTGTGTATTGCATGACGGGAAGTCAGGGGGTGTCAACACCCTAGACCAACCACTAAATGATATATCCTTGCTGCAAGGTGTGGATCCACCGAATGTTAATTATGTGATATATATATATATATATATATATATATATATATATATATATGTATGTATGTATGTATGTATGTACATATTGTTCATGATGTTGCAAGTACGAGTGGGCTGATCCAGCGCACAGCAAACAGGTACCACATGTTGATCCAACATGTTGGGCAAGATAAGTCTACCACCCAAGGGGAAACCTTGGGACGGACTCGATTATAGGAATTTAGAGTGTAAACCAGGTGGATCCTGCTGGGCTCCAATGGTTAAGTCAAACCGGGTAAAAACGTACGTACGGGTATCCTTGAACTACCTGGTGATCCATCAGGTGGGGATTCCACCCACCCAACGGAGAACTCCTTCGTTGGTTGAGCATGACCCGCTGATCCAGTGGGAACCCTCATGTCTCCCATACAGTAAAAAGTTAAAGTCCTTAGACTAGAATAGGTATAGGGACAGGGTTTGGTGATCCATCAAGCATGATAAAACTCACAGGTTGGAAGTGAATGGGACATGGAAGCGCCAGGTTCATCGGGTGAATTTCTATGTGTATGTGTGAACTTCGTGTGGGTTGCATGATATCTCTTGATTATTATGAATTGTGGATTCCTTTGATTGTTTACTTGACGTTAGTTATATTTCACTCAGCGTCAATGCTGAGCGTGTAGTTGTTTGTGTGCTACACGCAGGTAACCAGGTAGAAGATGAATTTAGAGCCGATCCCGGAAGGAGATGAGGACGAGGAGATGTGGGTGGAACTAATGGAGGATCTGGAACTCCTAATTATTTATGAATAACTTAATACGTTTTCGGGCATGAGTCCCAAGTTGCATTTATTTATTTATCAGGCTTCCGCACTATTTTACGTTTACTCTGATGTTGGATTTTTGTTAAACGGTTGGATGTTTTCTTAAATTGTTTGAAAAGTAGCGTACGTTAGATACCGGAATGGTGGCAACCCGACTCGCTAACCCGTGGGTCCGGGTTATGCGGGTTGGGGTGTTACAAGAACTCTAAGACATACCTATATAAGTTAGGCCTTGAGGGTATGAAGCCCCGTGGCTAGGGTTAAAACGTACGTACGGGATCCAAGAACCAAACTTGAGTACCTACTTGTTTGGGGGTACCACCCACCCAACAGTGAACACTACGCTGTCGGTTTTTGGTTGGCCTTAAGTGAAGGTAAGTTTAAGATGTCCAAAACCCTTTTATCTTAAACTAGGCCTAGCTTAAGGATTTTTAGGAGTACTCTGTATACTGGAATATAGTTTAATTAGTTAAACTAGAATTCATTTAAGGGTTGACAAATATTAAATTGATTGGCCTTAGACTAAGAATAGTTTAAGGATACTGTTGAATGACAAATAATGAATATACATGTTGGATGATTGAATAATGAATGTTGAAAATTGAATATTGATTACTGAATATCTGAACTGAACATTATGTGCATGATATCAAATGGTTGATTATGAATTGAGATTCAATTTATGTGGATGTTTGACGCATTAGATATGCTTACTCAGCTTTACCGCTGAGCGTGTAGTGTGTTTTATTTGCTACACGCAGGTCAACAGAATGATGTGATGTGACCCTGGAGGCAGACGGAGGCGAGATAGTCGGAATGGATGTGATGGTTTTGAATTAAAGAATATAAATAAATTATGTTTGTGGTTATGATCTGTTAAGCTTCCGCAATATTGAAAACGCTGTACTGTTTATGATATGAAAAAAATATTATTGTGATAAATAAAAGTGTTTGAAATTTTTTAAATTTTACGATTACCAAGTTAATACTTTAATCCGAAAGGGGCTGCAGACCTGGACGGATTAGGGTGTTACATTTACACCCAGAATTTAGGGATGAGGCACGACACGCAGGCCGTATTTAAAAATCATACATTCTAAGTCAAAACCATGCACCATGCAAACATTCATACATCACATTCATAAAAATCCAGATCAAGCCGCACTCGCCCCAAACCTAGTTTATTCCAAGAAAAATAAACTACAAGCCTAAAAATTATCAAATAATTTAATTTAAAAATATTTTAAACCTCCAGAATATCTAAAATTTAAATATGAATTTTCCTGAATTTTAAAATAATTAATTACCGTAAATATAAGTATTACTTTCAAAATTGGGATTTTAATTCAAAATAAATACTTATACCTTTTGAAAATAAAAAAAAATTCCAGAATGTGTATTCTAATTTTATAAGTCTGAAAATACGATTTCAAACATTTATAAAATTTATTATCGAAATTATATATTTAAATAGTCTTAATCAAATTTAATTTTCCAAAAATTAATGTTTGAGTTTCCAAAATTACTATTTTCCAAAAATATTTAATTTGGGTCAGTATTGTTCTAAAAATCACATTTCCAGATTTAAATAAATTGTATGTTTGGTATCTTGGAATTTGTTTTCAAAAGAACAAAATTAATTTCCAAAATTATTTCAAAATATTCCAAATTTAAATATTTTCCAAAAATATAGTTTTTGACTCATATAAAATATGAAAATAAAGTTTCCATATGTTTTTGTAAATTTTATTTTCGGTCTTTCCTTTTATTATTTTGTAATCTATAAAAACAATTTCCAAAATTATTTTCCATGCATCATAATTATTCCAAAAATCATCATTCTCAGCATACTATGATATTATAACTAAATATTCAATTTCCAAAATTCAAATTAATTACTTAGTTTTCAAGAATTTTTTATCGAATTGCCAAAACTATTTTTCCCAAAAATTAGTAATTAAATACTTAAATCATGGATTTCATCCTCAAAATTTTTATACAGTATCCTATATCCTATCCTATCCTATATATATATATATATATATATATAATATATATATATCCATCATCATGTGCAATATGACCCAGCTCTGTCGTAGTACCTAGTATCTCTGTCCAAGCCGAATGAGTTTCCTAACACAGCTGTTATAACACACCAGAGAAGGCTTGCCGTAGACATTCACAACCTAGTTGCAACCTCCAAATTGAGCTGGTCTATATTGAGAGACCAATACCTCATTATGCCGTGTATACCTGACCCAACAAAGCATGCCAAATAGAAATCCAAACTACACAGATTACACCAAGAGGCCATTTGAGAGCAAACAAACACACCCGGAAGACAACCTGTACAAAAAAAACCATATGCCCAAGAGCACAGCAGTAAAAGCCTAAAATAACAGAAACCTAAAACCATTCAAGATTAATCAGAATCTTCCTTTTCCTGCCCTCCTGCCAATTTCTTCTTAAGTTTCTTTTTAGACTTTTTCTTTTGGTTTTTGGTTAAAGACTTGTTTGTGGACTGCTTCTTGGTTGCTAATTCAGGTTTGTTTGGACAGCATTCCTTGAAAAGATTCCTAATATCTTCTGCCAAGTTTATCTCCGAACCCTCTGATCTGACCTCCCATACCAATGGGGATTTCTTTCTTCCTTCTTCCAAAATCTTTGCCTTACTTCGAGTAACTATTTGATAAGGAGAGTATGTATGCCTACCCTTGAATTCTCTCCCCAAATCGAAAGGTGTTTTGAACATCCTGGAGTAGTCTATATATATATATATATATATATATATATATATATATATTCCCACTCAAACATCTATCCAGATTCAACTCTGACCATAAACCACTCTTAGTCCATTGCAGTAAAGCCAATTCCACAGGTCCAAAATCTTTTAGGTTCATTAATGCTTGGACTCTCCATGACTCCTTTCACACTCTGGTAAAAAACACCTGGGAATGCCAGCCAACTATTGGTGGAATGAAGGGTTTAGCCAACAAACTCTTTAGCCTTAAAGCAACTCTCAGAACATGGAACAAGGAAGTGTTTGGGAACATCTTCTCAAAACTACAAGAAGCAGAAGACCAGTTCATCAAAGCAGAGATGGACTTTGAAACCAATCCTACCCAGCAGAATAGAGAAACAATGCAGACCTCATCTATGCTACCAATCTAGAGGTACAATACTGGAAACAAAAGGCAAACATCAGATGGCTTGATAAGGGAGATTCCAACTCCAAACTTTTCCAAGCATATGCCAAGGGAAAGAGAAAGAAACTCTCTATTTCACATGTTATCAAATCCAATGGTACAGGCACCAGTAATCTTTCAGATATCAAATCAGAAGCCATCTCCTTTTTTGCTAACAGTTTCAAAAAGTCCCACCACCCCTCCTTTGACAAAATCCTACCCCTAATCCCACAAACTCTAACCAGTGAAATAGTGCAAGTGGGCCAGACGGTTTCAATGGAAATTTTTTCAAAGCCACATGGGACATAATCAAATTGGATGTTCTCACTGCCTCTCAGGAATTCTTCATGGGTTTGCCAATTCCAAGAGCTTATGGCAGCACTTACTTGACACTTATTCCAAAATCAGATAATCCAAGAACTTTTGATGATTATAGACCTATATCCCTCTCCACTTTCATGAGCAAAATCAATACCAAAATCCTAGCAGGCAGGCTCAATTCCATCCTTCCTAAGCTTATCTCTAAGGAACAAGCAGCCTTCCAGAAAGGTAAGTCCATTGATGACCATATCCTCATGGCACAGGAAGCAGTCCATCTCATTGACAAAAAGACTTTTGGGGGTAATCTAATTCTCAAGATGGATATGGCAAAAGCGTTTGACAAACTGGACTGGGAGTATCTCGAAGCCTTACTACAGTCTTTTGGCTTCAATCAACTTTCCACTTCTCTGCTTATGGCTAATCTTAAAGGAAGTTTTTTCAGCATTCTTCTCAATGGAGAGCCAGCAGGATATTTCAAAATGGAGAGGGGTGTAAAACAGGGAGACCCATTCTCACCCCTCTTATTCATACTTGCAGCAGATGGTTTCAGCAGACTCATCAACCACCAGATGAACACACAACACCTCCTCAGATTCAATTCTGGTCAGGTCCCTTTCCCCTCCCACCTTATTTATGCTGATGACATTATGATCTTTTCCAGGGGTGAAACTAGAAACCTGCTCAAGCTCAAGGTCACTCTAGAAACTTATCTTAAAGCATCAGGCCAAGAGATCAATCTTAATAAGAGTAAATTCTACACATCAAAGAACACAACCACCTCCCAAACTCAGAACATGGAGAAAGCTTTAGGAATCAAAAGAGGAAAGCTGCCTTTTACCTACCTAGGAGCACCTATTTGTCGTGGGATTCTGAGGAAAGAACACTGCAAGGAAGTCCTAGGACACTTTGAAAAACGTATCCAATCCTGGTACAGCAAGACCTTAAACCAAATGGGGAGGCTTATCCTTATAAAGCATGTCCTTTCATCAATACCCTTACACATCCTAGCAGTGCACACTCTTCCTAAATCCATCACACAAACCCTCACCAAATACATGGCAAACTTCCTTTGGGGACAAAAAGATGGGGCATAGAAATACCACTGGATAAGATGGAGACAACTAACAAAACCTGAGGAAGAAGGGGGCCTAGGTATCAAAAGCTTAGAGGATCAACATCAAGTCTACACACTCAAGCTTTGGTGGAAGGCAAGAAATGACATGGGGATTTGGGGAGCCTTCGTGAGAGCAAAATACATGAAGAAAGAAGCCATGAAGGAGAAGATTACAGATTCCCCTACCTGGAAGAGGATTTGTAGATCAGACGAACTTGCAGCCTCTCATACCACCACAATAGGTGCTGAAGCGTTCTGGGAAGGAAGTACTTTCAGCCTCCATGGAGCCTATAAGGTAATTCAAGAGAATGGACCAAAATTGCTGTCTTGCAAATACATCTGGCACAGTTCCAACATCCCAAAAATCAGGATCTTCTTGTGGAAACTCCTCAACGGGGCACTACCTTTTCCTCAAAATCTTGGCAGATTTGCCTCCTCCCTACCAAGCATGTGCCCTCTCTGCAAAAACAACAATGATGACACAGACCACTGCCTACTCCACTGTCCAACAGCAACCACGGTGTGGAACAAGCTGGCCGCCCTCTCCAATGGCCCAAGCGTTAAAGAGAACACTACTCTACGTCAACACCTCCTTGCATGGTGGTTTGGAAGCAGCACTAAAAACTTCAAGGGAACCCTTCGTATCATTTTCCCAGGCCTTTGCACATGGTCCCTATGGAAGGCACGTAACTCTAGTCTTCACAACGCAACCATTCCAACAGCAGAGGGAATATTTCAATCCTGCCTCAAGACACTTCAATCATTGGGCATACCTCAATAGGAGCAAAAAATGGATGGTGCATGATGCAGACTTCATAGGTTTGGGGATTGATTCCTTCTGGCGCAATGGTCGAAGATTATTAGCTAGAACTTTCGAATAAGTTTGCTTTGTATCACCTACCTGACCTTCTTGTATCTTTGTCTCTTGTTTTTTTCTAATAAATGCATTTACCTTTTATATATATATAAATATATATATATATATATATATATATATATATATATATATATATATATATATATATATATAGACACACACACATATTACCACACATATATTCTCTAATGATGTGTCATTATTTAATAAGTCTATTTTTTATTATAATTTTTTATTAATTAAAACTATTTTCATTAGTACCTCATTCAATAATGACCATTAGTTTTGTATAAAAAAATTTTTTTTAAATAAACATACCAATATACATTCTACCAGTTTAAAACATACTTCGTATTTTTTTACATAATCAAATTATATCTATTAATATTTTTTTAACTTTTTTGATGTTTTGAAAAAATAAGTTTCATATGATTTTTAAAAACAACTAGTATCACACCCGTGCGTTGCACGGTATATATTTACAGTATGAAAATATATTGCTACCATTATTAAAGAAAAGAAATAGACCAGGCCATATAATAAGTTTTTTATTATTTTAAAGGATGAATATTAAATTAGTTATATTGTAGAAAACTTCTTTACAACTACATTCTTGGTATAATTTAATTTGCATGAATAATCTCTACATTGTATATGGGAATCCTCAAGTCATTATGATTGATTATTCTTGAAATCACAACATATACTTGTTCTTAACTAAATACTGATTTTCTTAATAATAATTCTACATGTTTAGAGATTGAACTTCACTCTTATTTAATCGTTAAGGTATATGAAGTAACCAAATAGAATTGTTCTTTAACATGAATGGAATTTTTGCATCAACTGATTTCAATTCAATGATAGTCTTGGAATAACAATTTTTCACCCATGTGTCTTCTAGATAGTATCTTTCCTCGTATTGAGTGATTGGTCAACTGAGTACCGTTACATAAACTCATTCAATGTTTTCTAAGTTCCATATATAATTATAATAGACCATGTTTAATAATAATAATAATCTTTAGTTAATAATATAAGTGTCCATAAATAATAACTCTAACTGTAATTAACAATTCATATAAAAACAATATTTACCGTCTGAATAAAAATATCAATCAATCATATATTGATGCCTAAACAATGGGAAATTTATTTTTAATGTTAAATTAAAATATTATTTTCGTATATTACACTATTATTTCCATAAATAATAATAAATCTGTGTGTATGTGTGCGTGTGTGTTGAGATCTTGCTATTAATATTAATATTTTTGTTATTAAAGTAGAATATTATACACACACACACACACTATACTCTCATTTCTATAAATAATAATAATAGCATATATATGGAAATATTATCTCTAGTATATTAGTTTTAATAGCTAGTATTATTATTTTCATAATAATATTGTCATTATCATTATATATTGGTTACTCTATAATAATTTATTTTTATTTCCGTAACTAAATTTTTAAATGCATAATTATTATTTTCATAAATAATGATTGCAAAAATAAAGCACTAAACACACATAACAATGCCATAAAATTTTCCTGCCCGTTTTTTGGTCTACTATTCCTCTGATTTTAAATAAAGTATTGATTTCCATACTAATTAATTATTTCAATAATTAATAATAAAAAAACATTTTAAAGATGTGTTTCCATAATTAAGGTATGGAATACCATTTCATCATTCGTGTTTCAACTTAAATTTTTAATTATTATTTTGTATTTATTATTCTTTCAAACCAAATTTACCTTTTTATAACACCTTTTCTAAGTAAAAATGGAAACACGGTACCGTGTTTATGTACATTCTTATAACACATTTTAAATACTTTTTTAAATATTATTGTTATGTTTCCTTTAATGTATGTTTCCTTACATTTCATTTGAAGTAAAAATGACGGTACCGTGTTAATTATACTTTTTATAATAACACCGTATCATGATTAATATATCTTTTATAACACGGTATTAATAATTTTAAGGTATGAAATTACCTTATCATTAAATAATAATAAATAATTAATAGTACTACGTAATTAATAACCAAAACCGTGTTTGTGTTTGTGTATGGTAATAAGTAGTACTCCGTAGTAAGTTATGGTAATAATTAGTAGTAAGGTAATTTGATACTCCGTATGTGTTTGTGTTACTTAACAAAATAGTAAGGTAAATTAATATGTGTTTGTGTTAATAATTATACTTACTTTTTAATATGTCATTATTACATTTATCACTTCCCTTTTTTGCAAGTGTAGACCATCTAGGTGGGAAAACGCAATGGAGAATTCACTTCTTTTTAAATAAAGTATAGATAATTCATTTCTCTTTTACTACTTTTAAGAAATACTTATAGAATCTTTAATGCATGTACATCTATATTTAAAGTATAACATTTGAAAAAAGATATATCTTAGAATGTCACTATTCGAAAACTAAAATAAATAAAACTATATCTCACTATTCGAAAACTAAAATAAAAAAAATTATATTTATAGAATGTCAAAAATTTAGAATATATACAAGCCCGTGCGAAGCACGGGGTTAACACTAGTGAAACTCATCATATATTCAAGTTCATAAAATACAATTCGAAATTTAATCCATATTAATACCGAATAAGATTATTTTAAATCTGAAAAATAGAAAATAAAATCTAAAAATTTATTTTAATTTTCCAAAGTGCTTAAAATCATATTTAAACATCTCATTATGATTAAAAATATTTTCCATAATTTATTTTATATTTATCTTGTAATTAATAAAATTAACTACAAATCAAACAATGCCTTATAAATTAGGAAACAAATTCCGAATCTTAACTTTTACTTTTAGAGTTTTTGAAGTATTTTTGATTGGTTAAACTCATACTAGTGGGTTATATTCATCAGTAGTCAAAAATTTATATTAAGTTTTTTCTCAATTAACGGAAAACCATTTTAATAACTAGTTTATCTTGGAAAATAAATTAAAAACATATAAAAAGTAGTATTTTATAAATTACTTTAGTTGTAAATCTGAGTACAAAATTGGGTATAACCGTGGTCCGTGTATACAAACGGGATGGGATCCTCTATACCAACTTCTCTATCTCACTCCCCTATCCCATAGTTAAAGACGTGCCAGATGTCCATTATAATTTTCTTTTTTTATTTTTTTTTGCTTCAATGCTCCTTAATCCAACCCCTTTCCCCCTCCCACTCTTATTCAATTATGAATCGAAACAAATTTAAAAATAAAAATACATAAAATATATTCAAGTTAATGGTGTAAATTATCGACCGGTATATTGTTTTTAGCCGGGAAAAAATGATAAACTTGTCTAAAAAATACACCAAAATATAAACACGAGGGTTTTTACGTGGAAACCCAACTCGGGAGAAAACCATGGGCCTTTTTCGGCGGTACCTTGCTAACGGGGGATTTTTATTGATATCGGGGGTTGTACACGGTACATTATTTTGGCTTAGAAGCCATTAATGGTGGAGCTTGAAGCTCTTGAAGAAGAAGAAAAATATACTTAAAAAGTTTCTAGAGAGAGAGATAGAGTAAATGGGCAGGGAAAGAGTTTGATTGGCCTCCTTTAACATTGAGGGGGAGCCCTCCTTTTATTGGAGTAGCTGGAGCAGCTACGGAGGAATATTCTATTATTCCTCCATTTTATGAACATGCTCGATTTGATTATTCTTCGTAAATAATTAGGAAATGTGGGTCAAGCCACATATTATTTCCCATCAAGTAGTCCTCCACTTTTTTAAGTTGTGAGAATCATCAACTTAAAAAAGTAAACAAGTCCTCTGAGTGCTAACTTCAGTCTTCTTACTTTCTATTCTTGACCGATTGATATTGTTAGTCCTCCGAGTCTTCATTAATTCTCTAATTTCTTGAATCAGATGTTTTTCCTGCAAAAAATAATATGTACAACATTCTTTTTTTTAACCGACCTATGCCGTGCTCAAAAATTTATTATCTTTACCGAGAAGCTCGGTGTTAGGGTGATTAAACTTCGCGTGAATAATTATCGTAACAAGAGCGATGTCAATTCGATAAAGCAACGATGCTTCGAGTAGTTATACAACATTGGAGTTAGTACCATGAAGCGGCGATGCTTCAAGTAGTTATTTTGTCGAGATCGATGTTAGTACGGATAAGTAACCGATGAAGTAGCTTTGTTGAAGATCAGTGTTAGCCCGGCTGACTGATGTAAATATCTTCATGTCTCACGGAGACCATCTTCGATCAAAGTTCCCCAGATTGAGGGCTTATATGAATCGGGCGTCCCCGATATGAGCATTGCTCACTTTTTTGCTGAAACCGATGTGCAATCGGTGTACCCAATTCGATTGGGCTCAGGCTTATTGGGAAATATGTGTAAGACCAGTGTGAGACTAGTGTACCAGTTCGATTGGGTCACATATTTTCTTTATTATACTGAGCAAGACCGGTGTAGTAACCAGCGTGCCAGGCCGAGCCTGTGTCTCAGTCTTCCTCTTTGGATAATGCATGTCGGATGGTTTCGAGCCATCTCCAAGGCCCTGAATGCACCCTTCTTCCAGGGCCCCCTCTTCCGGGTGATTAAGTCTTTTAATCGCCCTTTGATGTTTACTATCCCGGAAAGGCCTTAGCTCACCCTCCTGTTCAAGTCTTCCATGAGGAGGGGGAATCTAAACCAGTCGAAATAGGATGCATCACGGTGGACGACCCTCTTCTATTTCTTTTAATGGGCATCTTTTAGTCCCTAATCAGTTTGCCAGTCTCGGCTGATTCCCCGATACTAGTCAAACCTCTTGGGCCCGTGTAAGTACGGTTTGAACCTTCTTCCAGGTGCAGCCCTCTTGTAGGCATACCCCTCTTCCGGGTTTATCTTTTTTTATTTTATACTGAGCAAGACCGGTGTAGTAACTGGCGTGTCAAGTCCGGGCCTGTGTCTGAGTCTTCCAAAATTTTGTGAAACTCTAAAGCATTGGCGGTGTACCAATCCGATTGGCCAATTTTTGGACCCATTTTTGAATGAAAATCCATACTCCACATTATAAGCTCTCTACATGCCTCCTCAATGAGTGTT